ATATCGATTTTGAAGATTTAAATATAGTAGGGTTATTTATAGTCAAGGTTGAGATTTTCTTCTCAAATTACGAGATTTTGACACATGCATTCGTCAGTTGTAAACTATATTGTTATAGAAGAAGAAATAAGAGATCTTCAGCGGCTAGCCGATGTAACATGAAAAAGACCAACACGCATTTCAAACTTAAAATTTATGCATCGAAACAGAATGAAATGTACCGTGTCATTATACCTACAGTATAAATTATATGATAAATATATAATGCCAAATATTAAATATGGAAATTAAAAAAAATGAAAATAAACTCCGAAACGTACAAAGACCATTATTTACTTGTATTTAAATCTAGACTAATGTCCTTACCTTTGATGTTATTTTCACAACGTTTCGACCATCGAAACCCTCGACCTTCTTCAGGTGTCTGTGAACTGAACATTGTAAATATACTAGTGGTGGGAGGAGATTATTTTTGTCATAATCTCTATGTTTAGTAATATCTTTTTTTTTTTTTTTTTTTTAAAGATATTTTATATAATTGCTGTCGTAAATATATAAATCAACCATCCGGCTTTGTATGGAATATTGCTATCATCTACGGTCCGGTGCCCCTGCTGTTAGTCTCGTGGTCCTGAGACAGATATGTAATGTTATAGGTCATGATCTGGCACTTTCTCACAGACGTGCCGTGGCTTCCCCCTGTCTCTTCTATAAGTATTTTCACGGCAGCTGTTCTGACGAGTTGCTTTCACTGGTTCCCAGACTGCATAAATTTAAGCGAGTTACTAGGTTGGCATCTTGGTACCACCCTTTCACTGTCGAAACTGTTAAATGTTACCGTCTCTTATACTCAGATACCTTCTCGCACTTCTCGTCTGTGGAATTCTTTTCCTCTGATTTGCTTCCCTGATAACTATAATCTTCAAATATTCAAATGTAATGTCAATCGACATTTTCTGATACCTTGATCTTGCTCCCTGTCTTTCTCCTTATCCTCTCCCCAAACACTCCTCTTTACTCTTGTTCTCTACCCTCTGTAACCCTTTGCGTACGAGTGGCACTCCCGCCTTGCTTGGGGTGGGGGGGATTGGGAAATGCATAAAATGTAATTCCCACTCGAACAGGATCTTCCTGTGAGCCGCTGCTCTGTAGAACCGACTCCCAAGAGAGTGTTCTCCCGATCACTATAATCTTGGCCTGCTCGAGACTAAACTTAACCTTTATCTTCCCCATATATCCGCATAAATAGTGCTTCTTACTCTGTAACCCTCTACCTAGAGTTGATTCCTGGCCTTGTATAGGAGGAAAACTACTGTAGAAAAGTTAGCTTTGTCTACGTTTTGGATATAAGACTAAAAGATTACGAAGACAACGAGACGGCCGCAAGAATTTTGAAGGGTGAACACGCCTCTCGCTCCCAGATTTCTTAGTGAGGCTAGCCCGCACGTGGCGAAATACTAAATGAATTGACATGCATTTTCTATATCATTTTCATCCCGCTTCCTCCTAGAAACGATGCTACCACGATTGCCCCTCGTATAATAAAGCGATATAAGAAAAAGTAATTGTCCTGCTCAAGTATTTCTCGTCCTGTTTGTCTTGAATCTAAATCTCTACTATACGGCGCAGGGATTGAAACCACAATCGCTATATCACCAAATACACGCATCAAAGCTTTAATTCAATTGACTATTTACCAGTGGAATAACTCTCCATCCCCGAAATTCAGATAGCACAAATCTCAGGGCAAAGAGTAGAAATAACTCCAAGAGATCAATCTGGATTCTGGAATAGTCCAAGATAGTAATAAAAGATAAAAAAAAAAGAAACCCAAGTGGGTGAGAAACATAGACAGATAAAAGGATAACAGATGGAGACAAAGGTTGGTTGACTGGTGTTCACTTTATAGTAAATGCAGAAGACCAGTCAAAGAAGTAAAGATGATTTTACTAGTAAAAAGTGACAGCAAAGATAGAGGGATTTGGTACAAGCATATTGATAGTAATCTCTTTATCTATCGACCGGGGATGGGGTGGTGGTAATGGTTCTCTACAGCTTCCTCACTTGTGTTGCTCCCAACAATACTTGCTCATTTACAACAATTCACTTTCGTTGTGATGCTTGTTATTCGGAAAATATTGTTCTGTTTTATGACCAACAGTAAAGCCTATGAATTAGGATCTTCAAAACAGCCACTCACTTGAACAAATGGTGTAAAATAATAGATATATGAACGTCAACCTGTTTAACGGTTTACCAACTTATTTAACTTGGGCTCCTTGATAAAATCCAGAAACTTTAATAAACCATGTTGAAACTACCTAAAAATTAAAAAAAAAACAGCTTTGTTTTGATGTCTAAATTAATCATTTAAACTTTGACAATAGTTCGAGTAATGTAAATAGTGTACATAGTTCCTCATCTCAGAAATATAGACAGGTACAACCGCATGAAGAGAATTTCCCAAAATATGCCGGAATATTTTAGAAAAGGTCGACTTGAAAATCTAGTGAGGTGTTCCATTATACTCGGGTTTGCGATATCAGAACATCTTATTAAAAATTGGGACCGTGCCTTATCCTTCCGTGGGGATATATCCTTAGTTTTGAGCAAAATTAATTAAAACGTCATCTTCATGCAAATAAAAGAAATGGCTGGTAGGACTTTGTGTAGTCTGTTTATAGATATACCTGTATCAATGTTATTGGTAGGTATGTATTAAGAAACAGAAAAAAAATCGTAAGGAACAAAGGGTACTAAACTATGATGTTATACCATTTCTCCTATATGGTAGTGAATACTGGACAATCTCCTCCAAGATGAAGAAAAGACCTGAACCAACAGAAATGGGATTCTACAGATGGATGCTGAAAAAAACCATGGACTGATCATGTAAGCAACAACGAAGTTTTCGAGAAAATGGAAGCAAAAAGAACACTTATACTTAACATCAGGAAGAGGCAATTGAAATTTCTAAATAGCATAATGTGCTTGGAAAATTTAATACTCAAAGGGCCGATTAAATGTAATGGTTTGGTTTGGTTCGTTTTGTTTTACAGCATATCAACCCCGATGTTTTATTTAATGCCAACAATTTTTATTGCTGGTAATATTTTTCTTCATAAATGTATGGCAGGTAATTTTTTTTCCTTAAAAAATCTATTTCTGGTAATAACTTTTTCACTTCTAGTAATATTTTTTTCTTAAAAAAATGAATCGCTGATAATTTTTTTTCAAAAAATGTAGAACTGGTATTTTTTTTCTTTTTCAGAAATGTATAGCTGGTAATATTTTTTTCAAAAATATATAATATGGTTTGGTCTGATTTACGGCATATCAACCTCAATGGGTTATTTAATGCCGACAAGATTTTGATTGCTCGTAATATTTTTTCTTCAAAAATGTATCGTTGATATATTTTTCAAAAATGTATTGTTGGTAATATTTTTTTTCTCAAAAATTTATTGCTGGTAATATTTTATTTTCAAAAATGTATTGCTAGTAATATTTTTCTTTCAAAAATGTATAGTTGATAATATTTTTCTCCTCAAAAATGTATAGTTGATAATATTTTTCTTCTCAAAAATGTATAGTTGATAATATTTTTTTTCAAAAATATATTGCTGGTAATAATTTTTCTTCAAAAATGTATTGCTGGTATTAATCTTTACAAAGTATTTCTGGTGTTAAAACCTATTTTTACACTTTCAAAGTATTTTAAACACAGTTTGGAGGTCAGCTATATATATACCCACAGTTGGGACCTTAACATGTGCTACCACCCCGGGTCAGGGTGGACCTGGGAACACCAGCAATTAAGATGTGGTTCCACGTTCCTAAAAACCTGATGAGAGACCTTGCTATTGGACTTAGTTTATCGTCCTACCCAGGACGTGGATGTAGTTTATTGTCATACGCAGGACGTAAAGATAATGGGGTAGAGACGAAAACAGCGCATAACCTACCCAGAATTTAGGAGAGAACGAAAATACAAAATTTATTTGGAGCTACAAAGTACAAGAAATTGTGGAGAGCCATGATCATCAACGTTCTGAAGGAACACGGCACATAGAATAAGGTGTATTTTCTTTTTTCGTGTTCCCTTTTTTAGTCGACGTTCACGATATTTTAATTTTGTCGGTCACGTTCTGATGAGTCAAAAGTGATAACCGGTCAGCTCATTTCATACAATTTTCACTTGTTTTTTTTTCTTTTCTTATTGTCAAATACTAGAGTTGTACTATTCTCTTGTCCCTAGCTACTATGCCAGTTATTATTTCATTAATTTTATTTTATTTTCTTCTTTGCCTCTACAGGAGCGAGGCTTATATTTTGATTGCATCTTGTCTGGTCTTTGTTTTTGGGTAAAAAAAAACACCAGCAACAATAGAATGTTCAACATCTCTTCGTATTTTACAGAGAATTACTTTTATATTCGTTTAATTTTATTTGGCATTCAATATGGCTACTCCTGCGATTACTACAACGACTACAATTACAACGCAAAATAAACGGCTACTATTAATAAAGATGGCGGCGATTATTGGTCATTATTCGTTTAACTTCGTTTTTTCCTTCATTTTTATTTTCTGCTTTTTGCCACTGAAAATTTTTTTGAACTCTACGTCATGCGCATTCCCATCGATGTAGTCAGAATTGAAAAAAAATACATTTGAAGAAGAAAAAATTCTGAGTGAAGAACTTAAAAAAAAAGAGGGAAAATACGCCTGATATTTCTTTACGTATCTATTAAGAGGAAATAAGCAAAGCAATTCTCTCTGTTTTTATCATTTGATCGAATCGTATTCGTTTTGGCTAAAATGCTTTCATTCTGTATCGAAAGTAGAATACGCAATTCTAAGTTTGAAATCTGTCTGGCTTGAAGTTTACTACTTGAAAATAAACGTTTCTAAAAGTGTACGTCTTTGAATGTCAATCGCACCTTGTTAAAGAAATCTGAAATGCCTTTCGACGGTAAAGTAGCCGTGGCAGGTTTAAATATGTTCAGCCATCTCGCCCATACCTTCTCCATCCGTTTCGTGACCATCTCGCCCATACCTCCTCCATCCAGTTCGCGGCCAATTCGCCCATGCCTTATCCATCCGTTTCGCCGCCATCTCGCCCAAGCCTTACCAATACTACTTGCGGTTTGTGGCCATCTCGTTCATGTCTTACCCATCCGTTTCGCATCCATCTTGCCCATGCCTTATCCATCCGGTTTGTGGCTATCTTCCTCATGCCTTACCCATCCAGTACGCGACCATCTCGCTCATGCCTTATCCATCCTGTTCGCGGCCAACTCGCCCATGCTTTACCCATCCGGTTCGCCGCCATCTCGCCCATCTACATGCGGTTTGTGGCCATATCGTTCATGCCTTATCTATCCGGTTTGTGGCCGTGTCTCTCATGTCTTACCCATCCGTTTCGCGGCCATCTCACCCATGCATTCTCTATCCTGTTCGCGACCATCTCGCTCATGCCTTAATCATCCGGTTTGTGGCCATCACATGTCTTACCCATCCCTTTCGCGGCCATCTCGCCCATGCCTTACCCATCACTTTCTCGGCCATCTCACCCATGCCTTATCCATCCGGTTCGCGACCATCTCGCCCATGCCTTATCCATCCGATTTGCGACCATCTCGCCCATGCCTTATCAATCTGTTTTGCAGCCATCTTATCCATGCCTTACCCATTCGATTTGTGGCCATCTCTCTCATGTCTTACCAACCCGTTTCGCGGCCATTTCACACATGCCTTACCCATCCGTTTCGCGGCAATCTCGCCCATGTCTTATCAATCCGGTTTACGGTCATCTCACCCATGCCTTATCACTGTTTTTGAGCATTTTTTTGTTATTCACCCCACGGAACCTTGGGATTACATCTTTCAAACGAACTTTTGCCATTTTCCGTTGGACTGAGAAAATTGTTTTTACCCCCCCCCCTCTCTGCGTCTTTGTGCCTGTCTGGCTGTCTCTCTCAACCTGTTTGTCTCTCTCTCTCTCTCGCCGTGTTTGTGTGTTTGTCTTTTTTCTTCCCCTCTCAGCGTGTTTGTCTCAGTCTCTGTCTCTGGTGTGTTTGTGTGTGTGTCTCTCTCTTTCTCTCACTCTCTTTCTCCTTCGGCGTTTTTCTGCCTTTCTCTTCCTCGACGTGTTTCTCTATCTCTCTCCCCGTCAGTGTTTTTCTCTTTACCTATAAGTGTTTATCTCCCTTTCTCTACCTCTCTCTGTCGACGTATTTCTCTCTCTCTCTGTCGGCGTATCTCTCTCTCTCTGTCGGCGTATCTCTCTCTCTCTGTCGGCGTATCTCTCTCTCTCTCTCTGTCGGCGTATCTCTCTCTCTCTCTGTCGATGTACTTCTCGCTCTCTGTGTCTTCATCGGGATGTTTCTCTTCGTCGGCGTGTTTCTCACTCTCTCTATCTCTGTCTGCGTATTTTTCTCTCTCTCTCTCTCACACATACTTCATCAGCGTGTGTTTTTCCCTCTCTCTCTCTCTCTCTCTCTCTCTCCAGTGGCATGTTTATCTCTCTTCCTTTCCTTCTCTTCATCGGCGTGTTTCTCTCTCTCTCTCACGCTCCATCGACGTGTTTTTCTTTTTCTCCCTCTCTCTTTGTGTCTTTCTCGCCCCCTCTCTCTCACCACGTATTTCTTTCTCTTCCTCTGTATGTCTCTCTCGACGTGATTCTCTCTCTCCCTTTCCCTCGGCTAAATACCTCCTATTCGCATAAAGGCATTTTCGTATCAGTCCTGTTAACATTCCTACTCTTCTTCTCTAAAAGACAGGAGAACCATGCAAATTCAAATGCAAGCAATTTTATTCAAGACACACCATATTTGAGCATCGTACAGACGCGCCATCTTTTAATGTAAGGGTTAATATATTTTTGATGTTCAGACGACAACGTCTATATTAGTAAAGCTGCTTAGCTTTTCTTATTCTTGTCCGGCGATCATTTAAGAGGACGTGGCTTTTGTTGAATCAATTGATGTTCGATAAATATAGTCTTTAGCCTCAGTGTGTCTCACCGTGTTTCCTGCTGACTCTCTCGCTCGGCGTGTTTCTGTATCACGCTCTAAATATTTCTCTCTCTCTCTCTCGGCATATTTCTGTCTCTCTCTCGGCCTGTACGTCTCTCCCAGTGTCTCAGCGTGTTGCAATCTTTCCGCCGCTCTCTCTATATATCTCTCTCTCTCTTTCTCTTTCCATGTTTCTCTCCCTCTCTCGTTTTTGCTCACTCTCTCGGCGTGTATCTCCTTCTCTCTTTAACGGTGTGTTTCTGTCTTGCTTTCTCGCTGTGAGTCTCAGCGTGATTCTGTGTGTCGCTAAGTGTTGCAACTCCCTTGGCTTGTTCCTCCCTGTCTCTTTCTCTCCCCCCATCGCTCTCTCTCTCTCCCTTGCTCTCTCTTTCTTTCGATGTGTTTCTCTCTCTCTCTTTCTCTCTCTCAACAAGTTTTTTTTTGACTTTCTCTTTAACTCTAAATATATATCTACTAGTTGCTTATGTAATCGCTGGGCTCACCAGGAGGATATATTAAAGAAACACATGAAAATTTACATTTAATCGAATGCTTACACAATTGTGATTGAATCTATAATTCTGTATTCTGACACGATTCTATCGCCTACCGTCCGGTTCGAACTCCTCCCCACTTTATTGAACTGGAGTAAAACTTAAATGTTCCTTTTTATGATTGGGTTTCCGGTTCCTTCTAATGTATACTTCAACTCTATACGTCTAACGTATCCGCCTAAACTCTTAAATGTTATTTACTATTTTTATTTTTCCTTAAATAAAAGTATATAAGTTTGCCTATCGTCCGGTTCACACTCCACCCCAGATTTTTGAATATGGTTAGAAGTCTATCCCTTGTTTCCGGTTTCTTCTAATGTCTGTTTCATCTCTACATCTAATGTCTACCCCTAAACTTTGAAATTTTATTTACTATTTATTTGTTGTTTTTTTTTACCTCAGTAAGGGTAGATAGGTTTGTCTATCGTTCTATTTACACACGCCCTGGTCTCTTGAACAGAAGTAGATGTTTATACCTTGTTTCCTGTTTAGGATTGGGTTTCAGCTTACTTGTGAAAATTTCTCATTCTCATTCACTCCCAATGTTCCCCTTGCGTCTTAGCGACATTATCGCCTTGCTTGGGGAATTGGTTAAAAAAAATCAGTCGACCTTTGATCTGAAATGTTCATTTTAGAATATTCAGTGTAAGGGATTAATATTAATTATTGAAATGAATCGAAAAGGGAGGAGAGAACGTTGAAAATTGTATAAAATAACTGCGATGAAAATTGTATAAAGTAACTCCGTTGAATATTGTATAAAATAACTGCGATGAAAATTATATAAAATAACTCCGTTGAAAATTGTATAAAATAACTGCGTTGAATATTGTATAAATCACTGCTTTTTTCATTATGAAGGTACATACTTATGGATATATCTGTGCATTTTGAAGAGATGTATGTCGTTTATAGACGGCTCGATTATCTGCCTAGGAGTAGGACACTCCAACAAAAATAAAATCTAAGACTTTGGTAATTTGCTCCCAATCTTCCCTCGTGTAAATCCTCGGTTGAAAGGACAATATATGTCACACAGACGGGTGAGATCTTTTTAAAACTTCAGAAACTCTGGTCTATGTCGCTGTCCCAAGGAAGTAGAAAGACCTCAAACATATTCTCTTCGGGAAGCAAAGGCAATGATGATGAGATGGCAGAAAACTCTGGCGGGCAATACGAGACTTTTTATTTTAACGTCGGCTCTATTTGAACCCGTTATAAGTAAGCAAGCTTGAATGTTTCCTTATCGGTACCGACTGATAACGCTACTCCTCTTCGTCCTACTCACGACGATAAACTACATCCGGCAGCAAGGCCTCTGATAAGGAGATTGGAGGTTTTGAGGAGCATGCAACCACATCTTAATTGCTTTTGTTCCAAGTTCACCCTGAAACGGAGTGGTAGCACATGTTAGGGTCCCAGCTATGGGCAAATAGTGAACTACAAACAAAAACGAAACACTATGAAAGTATAAAAATACATTTTTATATAAAAATTTGCAGCAATAGTAAAAGAAGTAAAGAAAAGAGTAAGTCTCCCCCATAGAGTAGAATATGACTAAAGGCTGTGTGTAGTCTATCCCATGCAGCTGCGGAAAGAAATATAAAGGAGAGACAGGCCGCCCCCTTAAGGTAAGGCTTCAAGAACACCAGAAAGCTGTAACACGAGGGGAAGTAGAAAAATCAGGCGTGGCTGACCACATATGGAGAGAGAAGGGAGATCACTGCCCTCTGTGGGATCAGGTTGAGATCATAGACAAGGAACACCATTGGAAAATTCGTAAACTTATGTAATCAGAAACATATGCTATGCCACAAAAATCTCCTGAGCCACCCAAGCATTTAAATGAATAGAATGTGGGAACCAGTTATAAGGAGTGACAAAGAAAACAATAACAACAAAAAATTGCAATATGAGCACTGGTAAAAACATGTTTGATAACAGCAAAAATTGCAATATGAGTACTGGTAAAAACATGTTTGATAACAGCAAAAATTGCAATATGAGCACTGGTAAAAAAGATCCAGTGACAGGAGCCAAAGAGTGTGAGTTCAATACCCGGTTAAGGCAGTGGAGAACTTGGAGAGGGGAATTAACAGGAGATAACTGATAACTGATATCCATTAAACGTGGAACTAGAACAGTCTACACCAGTAAGTGAAATAAAGGGTTCAGTTTGACATTCCAAGAAGAACAACGTCCGAAACGTTGTGATAAATATGGTGACAAAGATGAGGACAGACATATAGTAAATGGTGTACATAATACCTCATCTAGACAGATAGTAAAAGAAATCCAGCACTACATTCTAATAGGAAAACAAATGTCCAGCAATAGATTTTAATAGTAAAAAAAATTCCAACGCTCCAAGAAAACTAAATGTAGACATTAAATAATTCATAATTGTTGCTATGGATTCAGTAGCAAGCAGTTTCATACAGGCTGAAGTTTGCTAACCCCACGTAGAACTAGATTTTAATTTTAATTAAGAAAATTCTTTCTCCCAGGTTGGTTACTAACCAAGACTAGGGAGTTTAGTCTTCCCTGCTATTTATGAGATGGATTCATGTCTTCCCTAAGGATATTTTTGCGAAAGTGAACACAACTTACTCGGCTGGAATTTGAACTCGACACCACGATTCAACTAACCGCTATTGTCATTTTCAGCATTATAAAAATATTTTTGCCTGCAGGAGAATTGCAATCAAAATGAATTTGTTTGTGCAGCATCTAAACACCGACATTTGAATTTTCCTTTTCTTTTAACTAGTTTTCTCACTTGATTTAGTTGGAAGTTATATATGAGATCCAAATAAAGATCGGACGACGACGTCTCATATTCTGAGATAATATTTTTGTTTTATATCAACTTGCGATGTTGGCAAAAATGACCCGTAAAGCAATCTAACCTATGGTCAATTTTCGTATCTCTACTAAATCTATTCTAACTGATTCATACATTGAGGTATTTGTATTAGAATTTGTGCAAGCCATGCAGCCTATTCTGTGTATATTTTCAAAGGCATTGTTGTTCATTTTTACAAACGAAATGCGTTGAAAATTATTCTTACTATAGGAGTTTATTGCGAATAAATTATTACTATATGGATGCGTTGAAAATGATTATCATTATTATACATTGGAAATGATTTCTAGTATAGAAATGCTTTGAAAATGATCTCTACAATAGGAATAGGTCGAAATGATTTGTACTATAAGAATGGATCTAAAATAATTTCTACTATAGGAATGGGTCGAAAATGATTTCTACTATATAATTGCGTTGAAAAGGATTTTGACTTTAGTAATAGATCGAAAATGATTTTTACGATAGGATTACGTAAAAAAAGATTTCTACTGTAGTAATCGGTCGAAAATGATTTCGACTTTAGAAAATGGTTTTTACTATAAAAAATGCAGTGAATATGTTTTTATTATTGGAATGTGTTGACTATGATTTTTCTTATTATAACAATCCATCAAAGATGATTCCTGCTATATAAATATTTTGAAAATATTGTTTTAAATGGAAGTAGATTGAAAATCAGGCAAAAGTGATTGGAAGTCTTGGAAATAAAGCAATCAATTTTGATAGGGTTATTTTATATATAATATAAATATACTGATATTAATCTTACACGGCAAATACATTGGAAAAAACTACAACAAATATGTATCTATTGATTTACGACAGGATTGCACGGAAAATCAGTTGCCAGGAGATAATATATGCATTACTTACTGAAATGCGCCATGACATGTCGAATGTGAATGCATTTCTTCTGATTTAAATATAGATTTGCATCATTTATTACGTTCATCTCGATGTGTTTGGAAATCTTTGAAAAAATATCCTAAGTAGTCGCGAATTAATGCGAACATTAAGAGCGAGTAGGATGTAAAAACATAGTTAAGCATTTTACTATTAAAAGCATGGCAAATCAATTCAGATTAAAAAAAATGGTTTTATATGATTTTAATAAAATAATTCCATAGAAAATCGAAATTGTTAATTTAGTTTGGATGCAATATGTTCTTTTCAATCCAATTTGCAAGTTTAATGATTAAGTGTAATGCAATAAATTAATTTCGGAAAATAGTGAGAAGAACGCTGGCTACAGCTTCATGGGCCCTTGTACAATGTAATCAGTCTTGAATCGCCATATAGAGACCTTTTTCGGCTAATTCCAAACCAAATGCCAATGGTAATGGTCAGATTAACCGTTTCCATACAGGAAACATTCGGCATTTAGGAAAATAGTTTTCTCATGTCCACTAACTGTTATAGCACTTTCTAGTACCGATCGGAGTTTCTTTCCTAACCTTTTGAATCAGTGAGTGCGGAATGGCCAGCATTTTGATTATAATTTTCCCTGCTAGTTATATGTGCTATCCATTTTTAATTTTGCCCCTGCTGAAAGTCTTCAAGTTTAGTGAGTTTTATAATTTGGTAAATGGGTCCGTTTGGGATTCTAAAGCGCCAGTCCATGTAATCTGATGAAGTATAGTGGTCTTTAAGGGTCATTGTTCTTTCGTTTGATATAATTTTTTATCATTACCTGAGTAAACAGTGATTTATAGCGGATAGGTTAGACATCTGTGAACGAAGCCATATATAGGAGATCTAACTAAATTTAGATCTGACGAAGCTATTTAAGGACATGTCTCCCGTTCTGGAGAGGGAGGGTGGTGTAGGGATAGCGGCCCGGATTGAGGAATCGGATTCCAGTCGAATCCATTACATTCACATATGTGCTAATACCCTTCGGAAATGTATGAATCTTCTTCTCCCCACCCTTAGCTATGCGTAAAAAGGCAGGACAGACTGAGTTCTATAGCCCTGAATGGCAACTGGTCTACCGCCAGAAAGAAATGACAACCTACTGCTGGAAAACATCTTCCTCGTCAGTCATGTATCGAAAGATACATGATCACCTAAGCGTGTATCACGTATGGCAAATAACTGATATTCACTTACGTGCTAATACCCTTGGGCAAGGTATGAATCCTTTTCTTCTCCCCCCACCGATGGGTAAATAGCAGGGTTCTATAGCCTTGGATGGCAACTGGTCTACCGCAGAAAGAAATTGCAACCTAGTACGGGAGAAAATCTGCCTCGTCAGCCATGTATCGAAAGATCTCACTCACTTGCGGCCTCAGCCGAGATTGAACTCACCAATACTTTGATTGGTGTAGTTCATAATCTTGTCAAATAGCTGAATTCTTGATGCTTCGCTAGGGCTATCAAGGGTGTTTTTTATCGTGACACCGTCACTAAATGGATTGCCAACCAAGGCTCAGAGAGACTCCATTCACCCTCCTCTAAGAGCAGGTTTGAATTCAGAGTTTTCCTTCTCCTAGACCAGTTGCCATCCAAGCTGGAGGGAGGATTCATACCTTTTCCAAGGGTGTTAGCACGTAAGTGAATGTAATGGATTTGACTGGAATTTGAACTCGGCTCCCCGATTCCTCAATCCAAGCCGCTATCCATTACTCCCCCGTGCCTCCCTCAGAATAGAAGTCAGTTAAGTTAAGTGCCATACGTGATACACGCTTAAATTAAGTGCCATACGTGATACACGCTTAAGTTAAGTGCCATATGTGATACACGCGAAAGATACATGATCTCCTAAGCGTGTATCACGTATGGCACTTAACTGACTCCTATTCTGAGGTTAATATTTTGGTTTTATAGCATCTTGAGATGTTGGCAAAAATGACTCATAAAGCAAAATCTATCCTATGGTTAATTTTATATGTATTCTAACTGATCGATACATTGACGTATTTAAATGGATTTTGATGATGGATTCAGGATATGTGCCCTCATTACCTCCATTCTAATTCCAGATCTCTGTCTTGATTATTTTTTAAACGGCATATCAACACTTTATGGGTCATTTAATTCCGAAATTTAATTTTCTTGGGAGCTGTGTAGTAATAAAATAGTTTAATACATGGCAGATGATACTCAGCTTTTTGTGCATATATATGTTTGTGTGGATATGGTTACTAGAGGCGTTGATATGTATGTTTTATGTTTTAGTTTTGTTGAAGTTATATTTTGGAATAGAGTTTGGTTTCTTCAAAAAAAATTGTACGATATTATTTGGATTAATGTCATGAAAGAGTTCTTTCATGATGGTTGTTCCGTAGAATTTTAAACGGATTTTTAATTTGTTAGTATGTATTTTATGGTGTGTTGTTCTTGGCGCGTCGTACAGATTGGAGTTGACTCTTCTTTAAGAATGTATTTATGTTTTATCATGGAGTGTCCGATATGAAATTTGGACATTATTACTTCATCTTTCCTTATTTTTAATGGTTTGAAAAGGTTTCTCTTAAGTTCAGATTTTCGAAACACTTTGTACAAAAGATTATTTTTCAAGATTATTCTCCTATTAACTACGAATGTTCACAATTTCCTTGTCCCTTACATCACCTGGAGATTGTGAAATATATGCACACATAAACACTCACATACGCATATATATGTATATACATACATACATACATACATATATATATATATACATACATATATATATATATATATATATATATATATATATATATATATATATATATATATATATATAAATAAAAAAAAGAACAGTAAGATATATAATCCGGTGTTCTTATAGGTATTTTTATTCGCTTGAGGATGAAATGGAACTAATGTCTTTAATTTAATTGCAAAATTAAATGCAACAGGAATTTATAAAAACAAGGATCTTTTTTATTCATAAACAGGTTCAGGGTTATTGTATATTATTTGAATTGTTCGCAACGATGGATTTCTCGCCAATTAAATCATTAACCTTTGTATTTGTTTTTTGTATGAATAATTCATCAATTTGTAAATTAATTGCACCTTTATTGAAATATATATATATATATATATATATATATATATATATATATATATATATATATATATAGTGATTGCATCATCCATTTTCTTCAGCTTATCAACCCTTTGCCGATTATTTAAAGTCAGAAAATGTTTTTAGATTGTGGGAATTTGGGGGAGGAATAATGGCTTAGTGATACAAATGTTACTAATTAACCTATAGCTGGGGGCAGAAGAGGTGGATTCATGCATTTCTCAAGGGTATTTGCGCGTAAGTGAATATAACGAACCAACCTAGAATTAGAACTCGGCTCCCCGAAAAACAATTCGGGGCCATTATCCATTACACCACCCGCACATCCAAGCGTACAGTACCCGGTATTCCCAAGTGGTCACCCATCTCGATACTGAACTAGCTCGACGTTGCTTAACTTCGGTGATTGTACAGAAACAGGTGTTTCAACATGATATGCCTGTATGCGTATAAGATAAACTTGCCTATTATTAATTATTCAAATACTGTTGCTGTTAAAATTGATTAAATATTAAGCAATTTAAAACAATTAATTAAAAATGAAATAAATATTTGAAACACGTCTCCTGCATTGCAATGACTTTATGTAAAAAGCAGAGAATTTATTCAGAAATACTTGTGTATGGTCAATTGTGTCTGAGAGCGATGTCGTAGCGTGTCCTAAACTCCTGATCGGGCCACTGTTTCTGACAAGGACGAATACGGGGACCCAGAAGAAACGCGACCAACGCCAAAGACCTCAACGATTGAACATGTCGATGATGATTACAACAGATCTGAAGGGCTGAACCAGCGGGTGAAGAAGGCTACGCCTAACAGATATGCTATAGAAGGCGCCATTCGAAATTATAACAGCAGTCTATTGCAGTTTTCATAACTGGATTCTGCATGTCTCATTCCAGATGGGACACAGAGGAATGTCATGAAATCCAGTGTGTGTGTCATTCCCTGGCAAGATGACATGCATCTTAAATAGATTCACACCATTGGCACCTTTTTCTACTCTGATTATGTTCCACCCCCCCAAAAATCTTACAAAGCCAAACGACTAGAGGGAATGGATGACTGGAGCAGCATTTGATGAAACTGGAAGCTTCTACATGTTGGCGACGGATTTAGTCACCAACGCCATCATCATAAAGGAAGCGACCAGCAAAGAATAAATTGATACGAGATAAAACCCGCCGAGGCCGACGACTTATGGAATAGATCCCTGGGCTTGACGATAAATTACATCCGGCAACAAGGGCTCTGGTCGAGAGATTGCAGGTTCTGAGAAGCATCGAACTACCTCTTAACTGTTGTCGTTCCCAATTCCACCCTGACCCAAGGTGATAGAACCTGTTAGGGAACCAGCTATGGGCAAATAGTGAATCCCCAAATAAAAACAAAATACTATTAAATTATAAAATTACATTTTGTAGTAAAAATACTAGCAATATATTTTCTATATAAAAATACCAACAATACATATTTATAAAAAATTACCAACAATATATTTTTAAAGCCAAATGACTAGCAGTATATTTTATAGTATAATTACCAACAGTACATTTTATAGCAAAATGACCAACAATACATTTTATCTGTAGTTGAAGGCATACAATTGCATTCAAAATATATTTAGTTGCAGCCATAAAAGTGTATTTAGATTCCGGCATTAAATAACCCATAGAGGTGTTGATATGCCGCTAAACAAAATCAACCAATCAACAATACATTTTATAGAAAAATGACCAACAATACATTTTATCTGTAGTTGAAGGCATACAATTGTGTTCAAAATATATTTAGTTGCAGCCATAAAAGTGTATTTAGATTCCGGCATTAAATAACCCATAGAGGTGTTGATATGCCGCCACAAATCAACCAACCAACATGAAAGAACTCTTTCATGTCATTAATCCAAATAATATCCTGCAATTTCTTAACTCAAACTGTATTCCAGAATATAACTTCAACAAAACTACAACATAAAACACACATATCACCGCCTGTAGTAATTATGTCCGTACAAATATGTATGCACCCAAAATCTGAGTATCATCTACCATGTACTCAATTGTGGAAGAAGAATAACACATACATTTTATTACTTCAAATCACTCGAGAAAATTAAATATCGGTATCAAATGACCCATAAGGTGTTGATATGTCGTTAAACAAATCTATCAGTGAAATACGTAGAAATTTGTTATTGCCTAAGTTGGTTATAAGAAAGCCATAGAGACTGATATGGTCCTAAAGAAAATCAACGAACCAACTTGTGTACTGATGTCATAAAATATTTATATTGAAAGGTGACAGATGGCTATGTAATTTTTTAAAACTAGAAAAATCCCACGTCAGCAAAAGCAATGAAAAAAAAGAAAAAAAAAAAAAAAAAAACAAATAGAGTATTCACTGTATTCGCAATTACCTTTAGAATAATGGAACAATTTTTTTTTTTACAACAGTGTACTGTCCTGGGTATGACGATAAACTACATCCGCGTCCTGGGTAAGACGATAAACTACGTCCAGCAGCAAGGCCTCTGATCAGGAGGTTTTGAGGAGCATGGAACCACCTCTTAATTGCTGGTGTTCCCAGGTCCACACTGTCCCGGGGTGGTAGCACCTGTTAGGGTCCCAGCTATGAGCAAAGAGTTAACCCCGAAACTGGGGTAAAAATTGGTTTTAACACCAGGAATACTTTGTAAAAAAAAATTATCAGCAATAAATTTTTGAAGAAAAAAACTATTACCAGCAATACTTTTTGAAAAAAAGTATTACCAGCAATACTTTTTGAGAAAAAAAGTATTACCAGCAATACTTTTTGAGAAAAAAAAGTATTACCAGCAATACTTTTTTGAAAAAAAAAAGTATTACCAGCAATACATTTTTGAAGGAAAAAAATTATTACCAGAAATAGATTTTTGACAAAAAATATTACCATCAATAAAAACTTTGTCGGCATTAAATAACCCTTTGAGGTTGATATACCGTAAAACACAACAAACCAAACCAAACAACAGTGTATTTTTACTTACGTACATACCTGCAGTAATCATTATCCCAATTACAAAAGGAGCAACATAATTGAAAGTTGTGCGCGGGCAGACCCCACTGCTTGGGATAGGGTTAATATTCTCGTGAAAGTTGTTGTGTTGGAATAATCCTCAAATCCACGCAAAATTAAAAATGTTTTTGTTTTTTTCCTTGAGAAGCTGAATGTGTCGTTAGAATCTAATATTAGCGAGAGTGTTTGGTTCGTGTTGCAGCTAAGTGTATCGACTCAAAAGGAAAATAGTCACCGGTGTGTGTCAGTCTATTATATCGAGCTTACCTTTCTTTGCTTACGAATATGCATACTTATGGCTGAGGATTAGAATCTTGATTCGTGAGGCGCTTGGGAAACTAATCTCTGAGCGGATCTTTTTTGTTTTTCCGCCATTTTCCTTTCTTTTTAAGTTTCGACGTTGGAGATGGTCTTGTTTTTCTGATAGAAAAGTAAGCTACATCATTTGCAAAAACAAGAGAAAGAAAAGAAACCCGATATTCAAGAAAAGCAGGCTTTACCTGTTCTTCCCGTCAATGATAGAACTTTTTCACGTTTTTATAAATAAATGTAAGAAAAATAAAGCTTTGCACAAGACAACGTAAAACTCTGTAAGTGGGGTTAGTTTATGCTCTAAGCTTCAAGTGATTGACAAAAAAATCCCAAAAAACACCTTTTTGCTTACTGACAACTGATCTAACATTATGATATTCAACAAGGCTCTTAAATATCTTATTTATGTATAAACAAAAAACAATGTCTGTGTGTTTCGCAAGGAATGTTGGCTCCCTGTGCCGCGCCATGAAATTTTTCTCGCGGGAATCAATCCTTCAAATCTACAAATCAACCATTCGCCCTTGCACAGAGTATTGCTGCCATATATGGTCCGATGCCCCTTCTGTTTGTCTCAAGGTTCTTGATAAGATCCAGAGACGGATATGCAATGTAATTGGCCCTGTTCTGGCATCTCGTCTGCAGTCGCTCTCTTACAGACGTGCCATCGCCTCCCTCTGTCTTTTTTACAAATACTTTCATGATAATTGCTCCGATGAGCTGCTTTCACTGGTTCCAAGACTTCGCGAATTCAAGCGTCCTACGAGGCTGGCATCTCACTCTCACCCTTTCACTGTTGAAACTGTTAAATGTGACCGTCTCTTCTACTCCAATAGCTTCATATCTCGCACCTCTCGCCTGTGGAACTTCCTTCCCTTTTCCTGTTTCCCTGATAGCTATAATCTCAAACTATTGAAATGTAATGTCAGTCGACGCCTCCAGATGTCTTGATCTATCCCCTATCCTTCTCTTCATCCTCTCCTCTATCACTCCTATTTGCTCTTGCTCCAACCTAGTGGCTTCCCGCTTTGCTTGGGGTCACATACTCTCTGACAGTTAGTAGCCCTTTGCATCTTAGTGGCTTTATTGCCTTTCTTTGGATGAAATGATTGAAAAAGTATCATCCACTTGATTTAGATTGGCGTATTTCAATGTTATAAAATCTTCTCATGTTTGATTAAAACACAAGAATTCTTCTTTTATTTTTTTAAATTTAGGATTGCAATACTTTGAAAAACTGAAATTTTTAACTTCCAATTCTCTCGATTCTTTTACCCTCGATTCTTGATATATATATATATATATATATATATGTGTGTCTGTCTGTGTGTGCTGGCGTTTGTATACATTCATATATAATACGTTAGAATTTCCTTTTCTTTGCCGTACACTAATCGGTAGGATGTTTGACTGATGCCAAATCGATGCTGAGTTTCGATCCTGGCATGAAGCAATCGGATGCCTAGCCACGCTGATGAGCTGTGATACAGCGAAACAGGCTTGTATGTGGATGACCATATATATATATATATATATATATATATATATATATATATATATATATATATATATATATATATATATCCAAGTATAGGATTTGTATACGGAATAAATTCCAATAACCAACAATTACTATTCTTTAAAGAGTGCTCCATACAGAGTAGAGCAAATATAATTATTTATTCGAAAATTATATCTCCTGCCTATATTTAGAATTCAAATATATCTATGTTGTCATGAAGTTCAGAACAACAGTTGATCTTAATGTTTATTCCAACTTAATTTCAATAAAAACAAAATAAATAGAATAACATGTATTTTTTCTTTTCTCCTCAGTAATTTTATAAACTTAATAGAGATTAAATTTAAATTTTAGAATGGGTAATTTTTAATTTCAAATCTAATCGTATAATGTAATACCTATTAGAATAAATTCTATTTTAGTCTAACCCCGACATTAAATAGTTATTATAATCTTAGTTCGTTGTCAAGTTTTTTGAATTCTCGTATACTTGTATTTTGATTGGTCATTCCAGCTTAGTAACAGCGTTTCCCCTTACGAGGGGTGGTTAATTAATTTGAACCTTTTAAAACTCTTTATTCTACATTCAACATCATCACTTGATAAGACACCAGGTGTGTTGAAACAAAATGGCTATTTTTGTAGTGATTTTATAACATATTTATGTTATAATTTTCGAATAAACAATTATATATATATAAATAAGTAGGATATTTAATAAGAGCATCGTTGAATATCATACATCAAAGTGGTTATGTAGTCCTAACTAGTACCCATATGTACAATTTTTCTAGTGGGGGTTAAAATAACAATATTAAAAATAAAACAATGAATACAGGAAAGTTCGTTGCAACAATTACCATGAAAGTATTTTTAGAAAAAGCACAGGGAAGCAAAATTACGGCGATGGGAAAGAGTCTGAAGTGGAGATGCCAGGTTAGGACCAATTTTTTTTTTTTTTATCTGGGATCAGAGTTGAACGCCTTTCAGTAGGACCTAGATATTAGTGCTGTCCATACCATTACAATTTTATCCAAAATTAATAGCTTCTAGAATTTAAAAATGAGAAGAAAAAACAAATTTGAAAGTTAACTCCAGATCAAAAGTAGAAAAATTCCTCTTATGCGGGCCAAGGAGTTGGCCATTAACAATTCCTTGCCCCCCCCCCACCAAAAAAAAAACAAAACATATGTATTAATAAGAGCAAACATTCAGTTTGAAACAGCATGTTCCCAATGTAGAACTATATCGGACTTATCAACCTTTTGTGGGTAATTTAAGGCCGAAACATATTTTAATTTGAAAGAATAATTCTTTTCTGGCGCGTATATATTGAATTAACAATTACTTTTTTGAGAAGAACAATGATTTTTTTAAATATAAATCTTGCTATTTAAAACGTATTTAATGGAGAAATGGATTCACAGCTTTCTCATGGGTATTTTCGCATTGGTGAATAATACAGAAACCCGACTGGAATTTGAACTCAGCTCTCGGATTTCTTATTCCGAGTCGCTGTCCATTACACTATCCACACATACTAAACTTGCTAGAGTGGAAAGAAACAATGCAATTATAATTAAGAAGAGTTGAAATGAATGCATGCAAGGTTTCACAACTCTAGCACCACTCCTTCATAGTCAATGCAAGGTTTCACAGCCCTAGCATCACTCCTTCATAGTCAATGCAAGGTTTCACAGCCCTAGCATCACTCCTTCATAGTCAATGCAAGGTTTCACAGCCCTAGCATCACTCCTTCATAGTCAATGCAAGGTTTCACAGCCCTAGCATCACTCCTTCATAGTCAGCATAGGAACTTTTCAGTCCACCCTCGTACCTGCTAAGAAACAATGCAGTTATTAATAAGAATTGAAATTAATGCCTGCAAGGTTTCACAGCTCTAGCATCGCTCCTTCATAATCAGCCTATAAACTTTTCAGCCCACTCTCGTATGTGAAAAAAAAAAAACAATAAAAAAAAACAATACAGTTATTAATAAGAAGAGTTGAAATGAATGCATGCAAGATTTCAGAGCTCTGGCATCACTCCTTCATAGTTAGCCTATGAACCTTTCAGCCCACCCTCTTAACTGGAAAGAAACAATGCAGTTATTGATAAGATGTGTTTAAATTAATGCATGCAAAGTTTCACAGTTCTTGCACCACTCCTTCATAATGAGCTAATGAACTTTTCAGTTCAAACTCGTTTATATGAAGTTTTAGTGATTATAATTTTAGTCTTGTGTGTAGAAACCAGAAAACTCCAGAATTATATGAACGATATTACTTTTTTTTTTCTCATTTCAAATTCATGACCGCATTCTTCAGACGAGATTGCCAAAGCCTGACTACTTGATTCATTCAAGGTTAGAGCATAAATATTTTCCGTTTTTTGTTTAGCAACATTATTCATCATTTTATTCAATTATATATTCGTCATTATTTGCAAAGTCTTCGACAGCTTTTCAGTAAAATTCCGCAGGTTTTCATATGAAAATTTTATTTGACGAAACTGGTTTTAATAAGAGAAATTCCCCTCAACTCGTCATCAAAATGTTTTGAGGCGATCGAAAAGAGTTGGTGGAAGGCCAGGTGTTTATGAGCGCTGAGGCAGAACAGATCGACCGAGTTCCAAATCTTGTCTTGTTATTCTTGACGTCTGCGGTTTTGTGTTGTCATGTCGGATAAAAAAAAAATAAAATTCCTATTGACGAACGCATTTCGATCAGCCTTTTACGGCAAACATTCTTGTATGTCCGTATATTCGAAATTCATTCTTAACTGCCACATATTATTAGGAAGGAAATGTTACTTACAACTGTTTCCCAAGAGCAGAAATCACTTATGACAATATCCTTGTATTATTTCAAACTATCAGTTGAAAGAGATCTTATTATAGATACAACGTTTCATCCAAGTTATCTCTTGTCATCATCAGGTGTCCTTTGATTGGCTAAAATATCTATCTATCTATCTATCTATCTATCTCATCCGCCACACCCTCTAAAATATCCATACACTAACCGATCGTAACCAAATTTTAGGTAGAAATGCAAATAGTTAAGGGAATACAAAGTAAATTGGTTTTACCAGGGTGTGTAGTTTAGTAAAATAATTTTTTTATTAATCTTTTTGGAAAAATTAAAAGTTTTATTATTTAATATACAAAATATTCACAATTTTTTCCAAACAATTAGATGATTAAGATAACAAATAGTTATTTAATAAAGATGCAATATTATTTTTTGTATATCTTTTTTTTTAAAGTTTTTATATATACAAGAATCCAGTTTCCAGAACGCCCTGCGTTTGAGAGAGCTGTAAAGAAATCACAAGACCAAACGCTTCAAAAAGTTGGAATTTGCCTCAAGAAAGAAATTTTTACGCATGACCAGTTATGTGTTGCATGCTCAAGAGTAAGAAATCCTAAGAATTTATTCTACGCTGTGAAAAAGAAACAAAAGAAATTTTCTTAAAAAATATTGTTTACCGGAGTCCTATAAAATTAAAGAAATTATTAAACCACGAGTAGGAATTTTATCAAAGTATTTTTCCAAACAAATCGGCTTATTCAAATTTCATCGATTGGCTGACGAAATTGAACGAAATGTAGAGTTTATAAATTTCGACAAAAATGATAGTGATAATTTCAACAATACTAAATACTGTGAGGAATTCAACATGCGTCAGCGTGTTACAAAAAATGTCTAGTATGGGATATCTCTCGATTACTGTGATATTTTGTGAATTATTTTTCGTTCCTGGTGAATTAGTACTTCGCTACCTAATCCAAGGGTTAAACTCATGACTAATAGATGACAATATCACGTGTACAGCGTGCGACAGAAATACCTCCTACATCTTGGTAAGATATTAGAAGCAATATTGTGTTCTTCTAGTTCATGTCTGACCATTATGTGAGAGGTATTTTTGCCGCACCCTTTATATCCAACTCTACTGTTCCGAAGGATTTTATGGTGTATTTTTGTAGCCTTTTATATTCAATATCAGATGGTTTTGATATTTGGTTATGATTACTTGATGTGAATTTCGTTTGAAGGTTGTCATTTTGATTGTCGAATTCTCCGAGATCAAGTGTGTCTGTTTGAGCCATAGTGTGAAAAGGCGTCTTAAATATGCTTGATCCCCCGGTTGGGCCATAGTGTGCAAAGGGGTCTGGTTGAGCCTCAGTACGGAAAGGCGTCTTAAATATGCTTGATAACGGGGGCCATAGTGTGTGAAGTGTCTGGTTGAGCCAAATCATGCAATTCTTTGGATGATCGACTATCTAGACCCAAAGGATAATCTAGCGACGGGAACGCCACACTAAATCTTTGTTCCCCTGATGTTGCATGAGAAATTAACTGTAGAAAAATATTGTTTTGAATAATTGCTAATTTGTTTTTTTTAACCACATTTGAGTCGATCAATGGCACACTGACATTTTTAGGTAAAGCCTCAGTAAATATTCAACATTTTAGCCGTTTCGATAAGTTAAAACACGATAGTCAGGTTATTTCAGTAACAGCATCGTCAGTAGTCGATGATTCTCGCACGAATATCCCGTATCGCTGTATCTTGATTGAGTCTTCGAAAACAAAGAAATCTGGTTCGTCACTGATACGTTCTTGTGATCCCGATTCCGATGCAAATATGGGAGCATCCACGGCTAATCCAGGGTAAGTGGACGCATCAGCATAGGACAGACTACAAGCATTTGCTAAATCCACTTAATCCCTTTCGAAAACTAGCTTGATGACATTCATACACATCTCAAAATGTCTGCCAAGAAATGGACTGTTTCAGCACACCGCTGACTGAAACGGCGGCAAAAAGCAAAAATATCTTTTTTAATACTAAGGTTTACCTCGAAAAACACTCAAGAGCTATTGATAGTAGTGGGTTACCGAATGAAGTGTACGAAATGAATGTAAGACGCGGGAGAAGAAAGTGAAAATTATGAGGATAAGGATGATAGATAGCGATTGACCCTTAATTTGAAGTTGTTAAGATTGTAGTGTTCAGGAAAGCACCGACTCGAGAGTTTATTTTCGGCAAAAAGCTTCTTATAAATGGAATACAAGGGAAACGTGGGTGATTCGATTCCGTGGACGCAGCATGGCGTGTCCTAGATGTAAATGTCTGAAACGAAAGAAAGGAGCTGATCCGAACATTTGCCATGTCATTGAATTTTGACACGTGTTACAGGTAATCTTTTTGATCTTTCGAGTCTAAAAATAACCGTTTACATCAAAGCGTCCTATATAACCGGAAACAGTGCGACTCCCCTCTTTCTCTCTTTCTATCACTCTCTATTTCATTCTTTCTATCTCTCTCTATTTCATTCTTTCTATCTCTCTCTCTTTCATTCTTTCTATCTCTCTCTCTTTCATTCTTTCTATCTCTCTCTCTCTTTCATTCTTTCTATCTCTCTCTTTATTTCTTTCTTTCTATCTCTCTCTTTATTTCTTTCTTTCTATCTCTCTCTTTATTTCTTTCTTTCTATCTCTCTCTTTATTTCTTTCTTTCTATCTCTCTCTTTATTTCTTTCTTTCTATCTCTCTCTTTATTTATTTCTTTCTATCTCTCTCTTTTTCTTTCTTTCGTTTCTCAGTTTCGACCTTTTCTTATTTTTTTCTTTAGTTTGCAAACTTGATTCTTTCTTTTTTCTTTCTTTCTTTTTTTCTTTCTTTCTTTTTTTCTTTCTTTCTTTTTTTCTTTCTTTCTTTTTTCTTTTTTCTTTCTTTCTTTCTTTCTTTTTTCTTTCTTTCTTTTTTTCTTTCTTTCTTTCTTTCTTTCTTTCTTTCTTTCTTTCTGTTAGAGTTGATGGTTAATCCTTTCTTATGCTTTCCTTTTGGGAAAGTTCTTCTATTTCTGTTCCTGCTACTAAAATTGTGTCATCTGCATGTTAAGATTGTGTATGCCAATAATAAATCCTGATAGAACTACTAATTCTCTTTGAATTGCTTCACTGTAAATATTGAATTTGCCCAGTGGGGAGCCACATCCTTGTCGTATGATACTTTCTATTTTTATGCGTTTACTGTCTGGATAGAGGTGGTTTGCTCCCGTTATAAGTTCTGGGTACGTCTAATTAATCCTTTCGAAATATGCCACATCTATTGCCTTGTTTTCTCTTCATCTGTGAGAAGGTTGTCTAGAATTCACTACTACATAGGGGACTAATATTAGAGTGCATTTTAGCATTCTTTCTTCGTTTCTAAAGAAGATTTTTCCTCTTTTCTCGTATTTTGCTTAGCTTTTGGAAGACATTTTTCACTCGTCCAGTTCGCCCTCAAAGTTCGGTATCATATTTTCCTACTAATGTTAACCGCTAGGAGACAGTAGGGCCTATATGTCGCCCTAAAACTCGAATGAGGAAGAAAACGACTATGTCGATCCGTCGGCCTGATCATATAAGCCTCGAAATTAACTGGCTGGTCTTCGTACCAGCCAATCAGATTAGCTTCTCGCATTTCTTGCGCATCTGGACCTTTTAATAGTGGTTTCTATTAAAGTTTGCTGTATTCTCTGAATTTCATCGAATTTTTTGTGTCCCAAGTAAGAACGTCTGAAAACGGTTCCATCTTGAAAATCCAAATGAATCTCAGTCTCCAAAAGGTTAAAACACTTCCCAAATAAAGTAGAATCCCTGACGGCCGGACTAAGAAGGCCTTTCTGATATGAGGAATTGGTTAGAAAGTCCGGACATGAGGAATTGGTTACAAAGTCTGGATATGAGGGGTTATATTTAGATTAAAATAAAAGAACATTTTCATTGTTTTATAGTAAACAAAATAAGCTAATGGTGAGTGAAATATAACGGAATTGATTTTAAGGAAAAAGAAGTAAATTATGTAATGTTAATGAAAATTCATTAAATTAAGTATGCCACGTATGCAAACAAATAATATATTGAGGATTTTTTAATTGCTGTTGCATGATGATTCTTTCTCTTCTAATGTCATTCTCAACTTTTTCCGCATTTCGTTTTGCTTTTGTTCTTGAAATTTTTTAAACGAAAGACACTTTTTAACACTGCACGCGCAAGTGCAAAGATCATAGCTGAGTGCTGGCTTTCTTTCCATAAAACTGACATCCTTTTCAATAGCTTTTTCAGTTTCAGCCCAGGTTTCATCACAATCAAAAATTTTTTTTATTTCCTTGTTTATTGTGACAGTGTGAACGCTGGAGAATAGTTTCTTTGGAAGATTTTATATCATACTATGTTGACTTTCCTATGTTGAACTCAGCCACGAGTAACAATGAACTTTCACCAGCGTCTCGTCTGTTTAAAATTTCCAATTTTGCAATAATCCCAAAGGTGTTCTTTTTACTCTTATTTCCATCATCTTTTCCACCACTACAAGCCATAAAGGTGAAATAAGCATAAGCAATTATCCAAAGTAACTTTCCTGAAAAACAGAAATTTCAAATCAGTTACATATCACCGAAATAGTTCTAATATACACATCAAAATCATGTCCGGATATGCGGGATTCCGGATATGAGTCAATCTGGATATGGGAGATTCCGGATATGAGAAATTCTGCTGTATTTGAATTTTCCACCCGCTTCATTTTGACACTTCTAATTCGTAGGTTGCATCCTTGGCTGTTCTTGCTAAAATTTGTAAATTCTGTCTTGTGATGTCAACGAACACTCGTTTCCACTTTTGTAATGTCAACGAATACTCATTGTCACTTTCGTAATACTCATTGTAGTAGAGACTTTGTAATCGCAGATACAACTATAGTAACGCTTTTGAACAATACTGGTGTCAGACGCCTTCGAATAGCACTCGCACTAATAGTACTTGCTCGATAATACTCGCTCGAATAGTAATACGTATAGTGATCCGAATAGAGAAATAGTATAGTGAATAGAGTAGAGAATAGCGATCCGTATAGTAATAGAGGATAGAATAGAGATAGCGATCCGTATAGTATAGAGGATGGAGTCGAGATAGCGATCCGTATAGTATAGAGGATGGAGTCGAGATAGCGATCCGTATAGTATAGGGGATGGAGTCGAGATAGCGATCCGTATAGTATAGAGGATGGAGTCGAGATAGCGATCCGTATAGTATAGAGGATGGAGTCGAGATAGCGATCCGTACAGTATAGGGGATGGAGTAGAGATAGCGATCCGTACAGTATAGGGGATGGAGTAGAGATAGCGATCCGTACAGTATAGGGGATGGAGTAGAGATAGCGATCCGTACAGTATAGGGGATGGAGTAGAGATAGCGATCCGTATAGTATAGAGGATGGACTAGAAATGGTGATCAATTAGACGTCACGCTACTTACCATACAAGCGTTTCTCTCTATGGTTACGTGATCTACTTAATTCAATAATGGGATCGTCTGTATTTGCTCAATGGCGATCTATGTTCAAACTCAAGTAACGGCAGCATCCCTTTCTTCCTATATAACAGTACTGTTGAAATGAATTGATAGTTGGTCTTCTAGTTTTCATTTACTACTTTGTCTATGAGTTCCTGGAGTTTTCTTTCTGTGTCTGCCATCAAGACAGTGTCATCTCCATATTTCATATTGTTATGGCTGTGTCCATTGTCATAGAATCCATCTGGGTGTCAAAGGTAAATCTATATCATACGAGTATGCCACGCTGATTAATGTTTTGCAATATCTGTGATATATTGCTGTCCCGGTTATTCTCATTGTGTTGTCTTGATTATGGCAGTTGGAGAGTGTTTTAGATGTTTAAGAAAAAAAAGGCCGACTCCATGAAGTTGTCAATCTACGGCAGTGGTTCTCAAAATGTGCATCTCACCTGATAGGTGCGTCGGAAGAGAATATCAGGTGAGGGGAGATTTAGAAACAGTTTTAAAAAATTCATATGCCAAAAATAAATGTGATTTCAAAATTCAAAATATTACTTTTGATTACTTATATGAGCATGTTATAGAGTAGTTTCACAGTGGACGCTTGTATTTCACTAAGTCGGTCCTAAAATAGGTTCGACGCACGAAACGTTAGGAACTTGATATAATAGGTAATGACGCAGAGAAATCTAGTTGTGGTCGCTGATACTTTTAGTATCCGACTAACGGTCGTCCGGCATCGACTGACTGACCAACTCACTGAGTGACTTTAGCGACTCCTGCTTATTATAGGTGGGAGAGTCTATTAACAATAGAATAGGTGTGTTCCAGTATAAGAGAGCATGAATGAATCTCAGTAAAAATAGTTATAAATAACTACTGACCGATTTTATCGTTGTGATATTTCTGCTTTATATCAAGTATTAAGAATATAGTAGCTAGGGTCTGCAAATTGGAGGAGAGAGTTATCAATGATAATGTCCTGACTCCGAATCCGCGGTTATCTCCCTTTTACCGTCTCACTGATTTTTTTTATTTTTAAATGTACTTTTTATCACATAATATTTGGTGAGGAGAAAGCAAATTTTCATTCCGATAATGCGGCCCAGAGAAAAACGTTTGGAAACCACTGATCTACGGTAATAATAATTCGAAATAGTAAAACTTTATAGCAGGGATTTTTTGTTTATTTCACCCCAAGCAAGGTAATAACGCCACTAAGACGCAAGTGGTCAATGAGTTTTAGAGAATGAGAAGAATCAAAGTTGACCGAGAAGCAAGAAGCCGGAAAAGAGTTTCGCAAGCAAGAAGTACGATAGAAGAGACTGTTATCATAGAACTTACGGTTACATCTGGCCATTTCAAGCAACTGTAAGATGATGAGGCTTTGCCGCCAATCTAGTACTGCAGTTAAATTCATAAAGTCTAGATCCAAAGATAATATTTATTTTGAAGATACAAAAGTGTAGCTCAAGGCCAAGAGGGGGGATATGTGAAGGCTGGATTTGAATTTGTCTTATCTTAAACTTAGCTAGCCACAATTACTGTCCGAAACATACCGCCGTGTCCCTTACACCAAAACAACACATTCTTACTTACCATTCTTACTACACCCAACATAATGTCACAAAGTCTCTATGAAATCCTAACTAGTTCCCATATGTAAAATTTGTCTGAGGTGGGCGGGGAATAAAAATAGCAACTTCTAAAGATGAAAACCCAATGAATGTTTACAAATGATTACACTTTTATATTGTACCATATAGGAATGTTCACCACAACATTTACAATGAAAGTACTGATCGAAAAGACACAGGGAAGCTACATTATGGCGGTGGTAAAGTGACGGAAGCCGAGATGCCAGGTCAGGACAAGTAACATTGTAGATTCTTCTTTGTATTTTATCAAGAATCTCTAAACATATAGCAGAAGCACCAGACCAGATGTGAAAGCAATATTGAAAGCATAGTAGACTTATAAATATGTAAGATAAATTCTGGCGAGAAAAATTGTCTTGCATGACACAGCAAACCAACTTCAATATTTTTTTTTTTTTTTTAACGGTGTGAACAAAGCGAGAAACGGATGGTTTAAATTGGAAGATTGACATTGTAGATTCTTCTTTACTTAAAATACGTCAGCATTTTTGATGGTATTGCTTCTATATAATCGTTAGTGTCTAACATATTAAAATAAAAACAAACATCACCTTTAATCTTTTCTTCTGCTTTGTGGGGAAGTGTTTCTCAACCTTTTACACTTGTGGGACCACCTCTAAATTGCTGTTCTTCCTAGGTTTACCCGGACCCGGGGTGGTAGCATCTGTTAGCGGTTCTAGCTATGGGCAAATAGTGACCCCCCCCGCAAACACTATGAATGTATAAGATACATTTTTTAATAAAAATACCAGCAATACATTTTTATATAAAAAATTACCAACTATAGAAATTTATAATAGAGTTACAAATTTTATATCAAAAAGGCA